GAGGGAGAAAAGAAAAAACCTTATAGGATCAAAGACAGTCTATGCTCAGAGCAAACAAATGGCTAAAAGGGAAGGAACTGCAAATGCTATGAGACAAGAGCTGACAAGACAACCAGGCTTCAACTAATAAAACTAGAGGAACATGCAGCACCAACTTTAGTTGGCTCCTCAATACAATGGATTAGTTAAAAAAAAGTGACCAGCAAATTTCAGGACACAACACATTTTATCTTATTTTATTTCTTTGGAAGGCAGAATTTTAGTGTTCACTAACCATTTCTAATTCACAAGAAATTTACAACTCAGACCTGGGATGTATGTAGCTCAGTGGTAGGCCTGTCTGGTACAGGTTAGGCAGTCCTGGTTTCTATTCCCAGTACCATAAAAGAAAAACAAAGGAAAAGAAATCACAACCCAGGATTAATTTAAGGTAGATACCAGACTCTAAACTCCAAACATCAACGAATGTACTATTTGAAAAAAATGCAACCATAAGTCTTTTCTAATTTTGAGAAACATTATTACTTTGACAGCATAAGACTAAAGACTGACCAATAGGTAAAAAGAACAATTAGATTTTTCTTGTGTTTCCATACAATATATTTAGCTACACAATACAGTGTACTTAGAAACATAAAATAGCAATGTAACGACAATATAATCAAAGCAGCAATGTAGTGACAATATAATCAAGAGATTTCTTGTTCAAATATCAGCACTAAATACTAAAATTGTTAAACCACAAATGAAGTAGAATAATTATGTGACTTAGCAATTCATTTCTTGTTTTACTCAAAAGCTACAAAGCACACCCCAACAAAACTCTCAAGTCACAGATTAGTTACTGCTATCTCAAATGTGACAACTGAAATGTTCATCAACAGACAGATTAACAAAATGTGGTTTGGTAACTACAAACCCAGGCTGGGGAAGTCACTGGCTCCCCTTGAGAATCTGTTGGTTTTGCTAAGGCTTCTCTCAAACTTGGTCAGAGCCACTTTTTGTAATGCAGAGATTTTTTTTACTGGTCATCAAAGCACTAAGAATAAGCAGCTGTGAGTGTCTGACAACTCACAGGAGCTATGGTCACCTGTACAAGTTCAAGCCAGTTAAAAATTATAGCACAGGGCCAGGGAGATGTCCCTTGCAAAGTACCAAGGCTGAGTTCGCACACCAACATGGCGGCTCACAATCACCTATAACTCCAGTCCCAGAGAATCATGTGTGTGTGTGTGTGTGTGTGTGTGTGTGTGTGTGTGTGTGTGTGTGTGTGTGTGTGTGTGTGTGTACACTCCCTAAGCCCCACCCTTAGCTGAAGACCTATAAAAATAGTTATGGCTGCTGCAGGGAGGGAGAGTCATTTTCTTTGAGAGGTGGCTACTGGTAGGCTGTCCATGCATCAGTATATCCATACAGCCATATAGCATATAGGCAGCACTAACTGGACCCAGTGGATTATATAAAAGTTATGTTCACATAATTATTTAGCAACATAACATTCTAGTAAATAAAAAACAAACACAACATATTATGTGGTACCATTCACACAAATGACCAAAATCTAAAAAGAGTGAAGGATGACTTGAGCTGGTAAAGAGATTTCTTTCTGGGAAGATGAAAATGATCCATGAGATCTGGGTGACGACTACACACCTAGGTAAATGCATTACCAACCATATTGGGATAGCTAGGAAACAGAGATATGCACAAGAGGTCCTTATTTAGGTGGCAAATATGGAACCACTTACATTTTGTATTTCAGATTCTAGAAGAAGCCTCATTAATGCTCCTCTCTACCCTAGTAACCTAGGATTTAGGACTACCAATTAGTTACTCCAGAACGAATTAACCAGCTCTGCTCCTACTTCCTGAACAGTCAAAACCAAAACAAGTCTATTTAGGATGCACTGAATCTTTCCTAAATCTTCAAACCCACAGATTCTAACAAAGATACAAACCCTCTACACCATAATTCAGATAGCAGGGTCAAACATACCCAGGGAAAATAGATGGAGATTAAAAAATAAAAAATCAGAACTGAAATCTACTGAAAGCTCAACTGGGAGTTAAGAACTGCATTCATTTCAGGGTTTTCTTCCCCCACCCCCCTTTAACAAGACTTTCTATGAAGGTTACCTTCTACAGTACTCCTTAAATTATCACTGGACGGAGAATTTAACCATGTGGCTGCACTTTAGTGATGCAAATTCTAATGCAGCAGCAGTCAATACTGAGAATTGCCATTTTTTGGGTGGTGGAATAGGGAAGAGCCAGGTCTCACTATGTAGCCTTGTCTGGCCTGCAACTCAGATCTGTCTGCCTCTGCCCCAAGTGCTGGAATTAAAGGCCTGTGACCTCACATCCGGCTAAAATTACCATTTCTTACTTGATCTCCCCAGAGAACAAGCTGGGACAAAGGTTTTTCTCAAACATTCTCAATTCTAAAATGGAATACCAGCAGTCATTTGATTTTCTCATATTTTGAGGGGGGTGGTTTGAGACAGGGTTTCTTTGTGGCTTTGGAGGCTGTCCTGGAACTAGCTCTAATAAACTAGGCTGGTCTTGAACTCAAGAGATCCACCAGCCTCCATAGACTGCACCACCAGCCCCCACCCCCACAAACAGCAGTCGTTTGAAAAGAGGACTAAACAAGTTGTGTGAAGGGATATAATTCATGTAAATAAGAGCTTAGCACAGTGCTTGATGAACAGTAAGAATCCAACATAGCAGCCTAAGCTACAGAAAAGTTTGATTTTGATAGTGACCATCATCAATAACCGATCGTCAATAGTAATTAAGTGACAACAATTACATACCTAATATATCTAAGCAAAGTGGTTAACAACGTTCACAAGTAGATGTAGATAAACAGGAACAATGGCTGTTAAAAGTCATCTGGGTTCTACTTGAAAGTCTGAGTAGTTTAATCAATTCTAAAAGTTATAGGACATAAGTGACCCAATTAAATCTTTTGAGGGGTGGTTTTAAGACAGGGCTTCTCTGTGTGTGTACCCCTTGTTGTTTTGGAAATTACTCTGTAGGCTACAATGGCTTCGAACTCAGGAATTAGCCTGCCCGTCTCCCAAATGCTGGAATTGAAGGCTTGGGCTAGGATTTCAAGTATCAGTATAAAAAGAATTTATCAGAACAAGGCACCCTGGAATACCCTGCAATCCCAGCATACTGGAAGATGAAGATAAGGGTAGTCAGAAAACCAAGGTTATCCTCTGCTACATAAGAACTCCAGACCAGTCTTATGCCCTGCCCAAAATGGGTTATGGGGGGGGGGGGAGTTGCTTGGGAACTATTCCCTGTGAAAGCCACTCACTAAAGTTATGCATGATAGAGAGTGGCCAACTGCAGCTTTTCACTTTGCAACCCATGTACTAAAAATCCAAACCCTCAATGCCTCCCAAACAACAATCTCTACTATCAGTAGCTTAAGTTTTAGGGACCCGTTTCTGGGTTTCTTCTTACTCTAAAAACTTACACACACACACAAAAACGCTTCCTAGTTTCCATCTTTTTTGTTTTGTTTTGTTATTCGAGACAGGGTTTCTCTGTGGCTTTGGAGGCTGTTCTGGAACTCGCTCTGTAGACCAGGCTGGTCTCGACTCACAGAGATCCACCTGCCTCTGCCTCCCTAGTGCTGGGATTAAAGGCGTGCGCCACCAACGCCCGGCTCCAGTTTGTCTTAAACCCCTGTGCTTACCTCTGCACTGGCCCTCGCCCTATCCAGTCTACAAATCAGAACTAGCAGCCCAGCAGGAAAGCTGCCCTAACTAGACGTGCGATGAGGCCGCAAGGCACTCAAACCCTGCCCGCATGTGTAACACTGCACAACCCCACTAGTCTTCGTGGCTTCCTTGCCCTGAAAACGGCGGGCACGGACGGAAAGACGGCCACACGACGTACGTTATATAACAATGATCAACTGAAATGCTGCCCCCATTTCACAGGACGGGTCCGGGGGCTGGGGACCCGCCAAGGTCACTTTTCTAGCAGTGGCGGCTGTTCTGCCCGGACACACAGCTCCTTCTAGTATCCAGCCAAGCTCGCGCTCCTCGGGCGGCGCCGGGAGACACTCCCCTCCTTCGCCCACCGCCACGGATCCACAGGTGCCCCGGCGTCCCAGCGACATCGCGACCCAAGGCCCGGGGCGGCGGGAGGTCCCGGCCGTCGCCTCGTTCCCGATCCCGCCAAGCCCGCGCCCATTGTTCCTACCCGACTCACCTCCGAGGACGCGGCGGCGGGCCCGGCCGGGCCGCTGGAGGCCAGCTCCCGTCGGCTCAGCAAGCTCGGCCGGTGGCGGCAGGATCCGCGGAGGCGTACCCGGCGGCTTCGGCGCCTCCCCGCTTCAGCAGGCGCCAGAGGGGGCGCTTCACTCTCCTCGCGAGACAGCGGAGACCCCGGCGGCGGCGGCTGCGACCCCTGTGACGTACAACGCGCATCACCAAAGGCAGTTTGGGGGCGGAGACGAGGCGAGACCCTCCCCCTCCTCCCAGCCCGCGCAGCCAAACACGGCCCCACCCCCGCGCCCCGGGCGCACGCGCGGTGCACAGGCGCCCGCCGGGGGCGGAGCCCGGGGCAGACGGCAGACCCTGCCCAGCCCCCACGGCGGGGGGCGCCTGTCCTGGGGGAGCAAAGGCACGGCCTCATCATCCCTGCCAAATACGCGGAAAAGCCGAACCCTCACCAACTTCGGCAGGCTCCTGCAATCCCCGCTACTATCACAGCAAGAATTGGGCCGGGTCCCACCGAGCCCTCGTCCTCACCTTCTCCCAGCGGCCTGCTTCCCCTTCCCACCCCCTGAAACGCGGACTAAAGCTGTGTCCCACGGACACACCCGCGCCCTGGCAGCCAGGCCTCCGCTGCGAGCGCCGCCGGCATCCTCAGGCCGAGCCCGGAGGCCCCTCTTGGGACTCCATCGGACGTCCCGTCCGCACTTGTTGCCTGGCAGATCCACCGGATTTAAAAGCATTCCCAGGAGTGAGCGACAGCGTTCTCACTAGCCGCTCCCGATGAATGGCCGAGTTAGCAGCTTACAACGATCCTCCAGTTCCATAAAGGAGGGGACGGCATTGCTCAGGCCAAACATGAGCACGTAAACGTCCATCCCCGTCTTGTGGGAACGGACGCGGGTACGGGACGGCAACTTTAATTCTTCCAGGGAGACTATTTCCAAATACACTTGCGTGCAAACGATGGCACACGACTGTGCGGCACTGCGGCTGGAGGAAACAGGAATTGAGAAATGTCTATGTAAGCGCAAAAAAAAAGCGCGATTTTTAACATTTTCTCCTTTATTTCCTCCGCAGCCTGAAAGGCGGGCTAGGCCCGGGTCACGTGACGCGCTCTACCTCCGGGCGGAAGCGCGGCTGGGACCGCGGAAAGATGGCTGCCGCAGCGGGGCGGACGGCTCCCGGGCGCGGGCTCTAGGTCCGCGCCACCCGCGCCTGCTGCCCCCTTACCATGAGGCCCGTGAGTCGCCGCACCCTGGACTGGATTTACTCCGTGGTAGGTAGCGGGGGCGATGGAACTCCCGAGCGTCGCAGGCTTTGGCCCGCGAGGCAAAGGGCGACTGTTCGCTTGCAGCTCCGAACTCCAAAACCCATTCCTAAATTGAGCGTTCACGCCCTGCCCCCGGCTCCGCCTCTTCCTGGAGGACACGCTTTTCCGCCTCTGACGTCAGGGCTGCCGCCCTCCGGCCTGCGCCGGAGTGTCTGGCCGACCGCTCCCACCTGTAGCTTAACCTGGCCGGAGCAGGCAAAGTACCCAGCGCACTGAATTTTTCTTTCGGCCTTTCTCTTTTAGTTGCTGCTTGTGATCGTCTTGCTCTCCTGGGGATTCGTCATCTATGCATCAGCTGTAGCTGCACGACGACAGTTACTGAAGACGTTTCCAGACAAATTCTATGAGATGAATGAGCTTTGGTAGTCCCCAGCAAGCACTGTGCTTTTCCTCAGATGGCACCTATCTAGACTTAAAAGTAAAATTCACAATGCAAAATTGTGTATGGTCTTTTGTGATAAGTGTTAGCATGCTAATTTTTCAAACAGATCAAACGGCCCTTTTTGTATCAGATCATAGATTTCTTTTTTTGTGTTTCAAGACAGGGTTTCTCAGTGGCTTTGGAGGCTACCCTGGAACTAGCTCTTTTAGATCAGGCTGGCCTTGACCTCACAGAGATCCACCTGTCCTGCCTCCCAAATGCTGGGATTAAAGGCGTGTGACACCACCACCCAGCCAGGTCGTAGACATTCATTTTCTTTTTTGGTTTTTTGAGACAGGGTTTCTCTGTATTGTTTTGGAGGCTGTCCTGGAACTCGCTCTGTAGACCAGGCTGGCCTGGAACTCAACAGAGATCCGCCTGCCTCTGCCTCCCGAGTGCTGGGATTAAAGGCGTGCGCCACCAACGCCCGGCAGACTTTTCATTTTCTAGTGCTTCAAACACTTCATAACCTTGTGCCACATCAGTATGCAAACAAATGTGACCAAAACGTGTTTTGCATCCTGTTTATCAAAACAGACAGCAAAACAGTAGCTGATGGCTCTTTAGTATTTGCCTTTTTTTTTCTCTTCCTTTTTTAAGTTAGAAACAAGCTTGTTTCACATGTTAATCCCAGCTCCCTTTCCCCTCTCCCCACCCAATCTCCACTGGGATCCCCTGGGAGGGTGAGGCCCTCCATGGTGAATCATCCAGGGCAGGGCCCAGGCCCTCCCACAAGAGTCCAGGCTGAGAGAGCCTCCCTCATTGTGGGATGGGCACTCAAAGTCTATTAGTACACCAGAGATAAATACTACCCAACGCTCCATAGATTAGTATTTGTTTTTTTACTGTCAGTCTCAAGAAATAATAACAACACTCTGAGAAAAAGCTTTATTGATTACTTTTCCAGGAAACAGATTCAGTAAATACGAACTATAAGAAGAGACGTTTGCTGTTACACAAGTCTTTTAAGTTTTTAGTGCTCTTTAATGATGTTGATCAGGAAAATCTTTCATTGGTGGAATTACTTCTCCAGTCTCCAGAATTGTATCACCCTAGGAAAACAAGTAAATGTTTAATAAATTGTAAAATGTTTATATAGCAAGTTCCAGAACAAGCAACACAACATAGACAGACCCTATCTCAAACAAACAAACAAACTTTCAAAATTATTTTCCATTTTACTTAAAACATTTCAATTTGGGGGCTGGAAAGGGTTCAGTGGTTAAAAGCACTGCTGCTCTTCCAGAGGACCTGAGTTCAATTCCTTGCATCCACACAGCAGCTCACAACTGACTAACTCCTGTTCCAGGGGTCCTGCTGCCCTTGTATAGACATATATGAAGGTAAAACACCAATGTACATAAAATGAAAATAATAAAAAAAATTTCTATTTGGATGCTATATTTCCAAATTGATGAATATATACATATATATAATATATATAAAGTTAAAAAGATTAGTCAAACTATTGCATTAGAACTTAAAAATTAAAGAGGTATAGACAAAATAAAGTACATATTTAAACTGTATAATTTTGAAGTATGGATACACCTGTGAGGCCATCATCGCAATCAAGATAATAACATATTTAGCATTACAAGATTTAGTATTTTATTCCTTCTACCCTCTCAACCTCCACCTACAGTTTGCAGAAAAACTATAAAATATTAGTTCTGAATAGGTGGTTTTTCTACTCTATTCCATGTAGGTAAATAACAGAAGTTTCCTGTTATTTCTTGAAGCAGAGTTCCAATATATAGTTAGCCAATTTTAACGGTTCTCCCTAAAGTCCCTTGTTGATAATAGACTACTGTAACATATGCTACTAAATGGAAGTTTTTGAATTTACAGTTATGCTGGTTCAATAATTATTTGTAAGCAAAGACAGACAACATGTTTTAGTATACTAAACAATAGCCTCACCAACAACCAATAAAATGCCAACTAATTATAATACATATTTTTTATATGAGGACTTAAGAATAAAAGCGGTATAGACATAACAAAGTGTGTATTTAAGCTGTGTAACTTTGAAGTATGGATATACCTGTGAGATCATCACCATAATTAATATAATACTTAATCATTTTGGGATAGAAACTCACTGTATAGCGCTGACTGCCCTGAAATGCACTATGTAGACCAAGCTGGCGTTCAACTCACAGAAAGCCTCCTGCCACAGCACAGGAGTGCTGGGATTAAAGGTTACACCAACACACCCAGCTTACTGTAAATTTGAATTAACGAAAGGTGTAGTTTTAAGCTTAAGCTTTATTCTTTTCTCATGAAAACAAGGTTGAGAAATAGTGTCCACTCATTTTCAAATTCAGTTGCTACTTCCTACTTTCCTTTTTCCTCCTACAGTAATACACAAACACACTGAAGCTGACAGTAAGAAAAGATCATTTTATTCTAATTAGTTTGCAATCATTTGTAGAATGGGAGGGAGTACAATTGAAAAACGGGTTTTCAGACTTACTGGGAATATTTTGGGCTTCGTGTCAACGATGGCATATGGTTTTGTCTGCAATAAAAAAATTCTCTATAAATTACAGTGTTAGACTTTCTGGTGAAAATTTTAGATCTTATTCCCAATTTTTACTTAAGCCCCACATTTTCCTAGAACTCTTGGCCCATATAACTGTTAATTCAACATTTCTACTTATGTCAATAGGCATCTCAAAGTTAGCCACACCCACACGGGCCGAGGTGGCGCACGGGAGGCAGAGGCAGGCAGATCTCTGTGAGTTTGAGACCATCCTGGTCCACAAGAGCTAGATCCAGGACAGCCAGGGCTACACAGAGAAACCCTGTCTCAGAAAAAAAAAAAAGTTAACCACAACCACAATTTAACTTCCCCTAGCCCCACAACTGCCGCTGCTCCTCCTGAGCCCCGTCTTAGCTAACGGCACCAGTGTTCTGTCAGTGCTAAAAGCCTGTGAGGAAGCTGTAACTCCTCAGCAGACCCTACCGCCCACCTTGCTTGATACCTTGCATCCAGTTAACAGTACCTCCCCTGCCCATGCTCCTGACATTTTGCCAGGACTGCTCCAACAGCATCCACTAGTCAGCCCACTTATACTCAAGCCCCAACAACACAGGTAGCACAACCCTTTCAACACGGATCACATCTTAGTTTCATACTAAGGAAAAAGATGGAATCCTTGCTGTGACCTCTAAAACCCTCCATGATCTCACTGCTAACTATCTGACTTCCTCCTATTGTCTCCTTACTGTACCTGAGTCACAATGGCTCAGTCAAATTAATAAAGCCTGATGTGCCCCAGGACGTCGGTGCTCACTGATTCCTTTACCTGAAATGCACTCCTCCTGAGTATCTGCTTGTCCCCTCACCTCATTCCAGTTAGGTACCTTTTAGTATCACTTCTACAGAAAGGCCCAGTTAAACAGCAGCTCCCTGTCATTCTCTATTCATTTACCCTGCTCAATTACTTTTTCTAGAGAATTGGTCACCTCCTATAACCACATATGCCTCTTATTCATGTCCTTAGTGCCAGTCTCCAAGACAAGAACAAGCATTTCATGAGGCAGGGACACAATCCTCTGTGTATATGGACACATCCCTATTTACGGTGCTTTGGCATAGAAGAGGTGCTTCTTATATAGATGTAGAGCAAATAAACTCATAAAGTATGTATGTCTGTTGGCACAAGATACCACACCAAAATATTTAAAAGATAATTGGCATGATATAAGACAAGAGAACCAAGATTGTTAGAGAGACTTAGGCTATGATGCAAAGAAAACAAAATGTCTTTATTATGTGAACTGTGGCCAGGGCCAGGGCGGTGACTCTGGGGAAGGCATACAGACCTGGAGACTGGAGTTGCATCTCTAGAACACCCATGAAGATAAAAGGAGAAAGCCAACTCCATAAAATTGTCCCTTGATCTCCACAAGCATATTACAGGACAGCTGTACTCCCACCCACATAGCAACAATACATATTTAAAATTTTTATCCTAAAAACTGTTTCCAAACTCAAGAAGATATTAAATGTCTTCAGAAAGATGTAGAATTCAGTTACTGAAACAAATGTTACTATAAAGCTGCAGAATTTACCTAAACAAACCAAGAGAAAGCATAAAGATAAGTAGCCTCAGACCCCACCAAACATGAAATGTTGAAGTATGACCACTAGTGACTACGAAAGCAGGAACCATATTAATGTCTCTTTTGGTCAACCCAATATGTAACTTATTAAATATGCTTCTACTAGAGGACAAATGTCTTCAATCCTAAGACAACTTGGCCACAGAGTTGATAAGGAAACTACATTCAATATAAATATATAAATACCAACTTTTAAAAGTTGGGACAGGACTGGAGAGATGGTTTAGATGTTAAAGAATGCCTACTGCTATTCCAGAGGACCAGAGTTCAGTTATATTCATGCCCCCAACAACACAGTTGCTTGGCTCATAGTTGCCTCTAACTCCAGTTCCAGAGAGATCTGATTCCTCTGGCTTCCATGGGCATCCATACTATGTGTACATATCACACAGGGATACACAGACAGACACACAGACACAGACACGCACGCACTCTCGCGCACAAGCACACACAAATGGAAAATAAATATTTAAAATGTAGCAAGGGTAGGTAGGGAAGGGAAGCTAATCTGGAAAGAGTTAGGAAAGAGCTGAATACAATCAAAGCACATTGCAGTTGTATGAAACTCTCAAAGACCTAAAATGCCAGAGAACCTAGGTAACAAAGAGGAGCAGCCTGGGAAGGAGAAAAAGACAAGATCTCCTGAGTAAGTTGGAGCATGGGGGGGCAGAGGGGAGGGTGGTTGGGAAAAAGGGATGAGGGAAGGAGAGTGGGGAAAATGTATAGCGCAATAAAAACAAGGAAAAAGTGGTAACTGAAAAAGAAAAAGTTTGGGGAAGGGTCTAGGCCCTGTCCTGGATGAAATGACAGACTATGGACACCCCCCCATAGGGGCCTCACCCTCCCTGGGGAAATGAGGGGATATTGGGGGAGTTGGGGGGAGGGCACTGGAGGAGGGGAGGGAAACAGAGAGGGACCTGGAACTGACTTGTGAAGCAACCTTGTTTCTAATTTAAATTTAAAAATAAATAATAAAAATAAAAAATTAGCACACAACTAATGAACACAGTCTATAAATAAAGATATATTGTACAAATAAACACAAATGGCAGCCAATCTTTGCCCCTCAGGGAGGTACTCTTGTTTTCCTGAATTTGGGTCAGGTCTTTCATGTATACCTTACTTTCCGTTGAAATCAGACTCTGTAACAATTTGATAAGGTGATGGTATCTTTTCAATGTTTCAAGTTATTGAAAACTTGGAGTTTATGAATGGGAATTTGGTAAAAAAAAAAAAAAAAGAAAGAAAAAATTGGAATGGTCCATATTCTATTGTCAGAGTGTTTATAATATATAAAAGAATCTGGCTACTTCTAACAGGTCAGGCTCAGGATTATAATGAAACTATATAATGGACACACTTCTGATTTTAAGTTAAAAAAAACTGCTCCTTAGAGGCACCAATATACCATATAAGTACCTAAAATTAAGATTGAAGAAATAAAATTTATAAACGGTTTAAAGTGCTTAAGAGAATGTGATTACATTTATAAGTGGAATTGCCTTAAGAGCTCAAACTCAATTAGTTCCAAGGTGGTAAGGACAGAATAAGCTTGTTCTTATTTTATCAGAGGCATGGCCATTTAAGTAAGATAAAAGTACACTTTAAAAGATAAAACAAAACAAAATCCCAGGCAATACTGTGACACTTGTGTACAGCAGTCACTTTCGGACTTCCCTGCCAGAAGGCAATGTTCTTCTCCAGAGATCACCATGCTAAAACATCAGGAAGTAAGTAAGATAAGTGGTGACAGGAAAAGGCCACGGAGTTGCACATGCACATGGCTTTCAAGTCCAACAGTCCAGAAGTATGTGAACCACTCTCTTGAGCCTTAGAGATATAAAGTTAGTTCATTTTACTGGTGCAGAGGGGTATTTGGCTGGTTTCTGAAATGTAAACAACCCAATTCAAGTCCCTACCAGTCCCTCCTACCTTACTGCTGACACTTCAGACAGGCCATGGCAACATGGAGCCTCCAGGAACTATCACGGACGTGGAAGCAGGTAATTTCAAGTCAGTTTGCTTTGTTTCCAACTCCTAATGCACACCAAACTGTAACAGCCTCCAGTTGATCTGCCTGGCGCAGACCTTGGCTTCCTTTGATCTGTGTTCGATGGTTTTTTAGATTTCCTTCACAATCATCATGCCACTTTCCCATTTAGCAGTGGAAAAGTCAGCGGTGTACAGAAGGTCATGGGTGTCATCAGGTGCATGGGAGGAGAGCCACGGCTCAAAGCTAGCTTGCAGTATGAGACTTGGTTTCAATGCACACACAAGGAAGAGTTCCCACTGCTTGTTACCGTACAGCTCACCTCTTCTCCCTAGATTTGAACTTTCCCTACACCGGTCTCAGCTCATTGGATCAATAGAGACATCTCCTCAGGCTGGAGGACTTCTGACTTTCTGTCTATCCTTCTAACTGGCATAACTTGTTCCCTCCACACTCTTCCTGGAATGGTATCCATTTCCTAACATAATACATTATTACTGGACATCAAATACTTTTCTATCTTCTTTCCATAACAAAGAGAGGGCACACTAGGTACGCCACAAATGTGGGTCAGGGAGATGGCTCATAGGGCAAAAAAGGCTTGCTGCTAAGCCTAACAACCCGAGTTCGACCCCCAGAGACCACATGGTAGAAGTGGAGAACCCTAGTCCTTGAAGCTGTCTTCTGACGTTCTCCAGCTCAATGATCTTTTTTTTTTGGTTTCACGAGACAGGGTTTCTCTGTATTGTTTCGGAGGCTAACGGTCCAGCCCAGCCTCGAACTCACAGAGATCCGCCTGCCTCTGCCTCCCGAGTGCTGGGATTAAAGGCGCGCGTCACCAACGCCCGGCCAGCTCGATGATGTTAACACTTCTGAAGGTTAACAAGCCACTGATCTTGCCCCACTGGACATTCCTTCCAACTGGGTTTGTTGCATGATTCCTTGGGACTGAATTCAGACGATGAACGTTGGGCAGCAATACCACAAAGGCTGGGGTTCCTTTCTTTTGCTGCTTCTGTCAAGAAGCTCAGTTTCAGTTGTCTGGGGCTACAACACTGAGATGCTGCTGCCTGCTAGAGTGTAACTGAGGGACAGCACTGTTCCCAGGCTTTCTCAAAGCACAGATTGGCGAACATGCACACAAGTGCACATTCACATTCATGGTTCTCTGTCTACCTATGAATGCATAGTAACAACTACTAACTCATAATAATACTTCCAGTTCTAACTCCAGCCCCCAAAGTGTTCTCCTTCTTCATGGAAACAACCCCTTTCCACTTACTTGATCAAGCTCCTTGTGTATAACAAATCTGTCACCACCACCACCCCCTTCCAAGTTTAGCCTCCTCATCTGGGTTCTGATGTCTTAATCCACCTCAGATTCATTACTCCTTCCCACATTCTGCTACCCTACACCAGGCTGCTGTCACTAAGGCTCCCCAAATAGGCATGCTCAGCGCACTCTTAACAACTTTCACTGAACACAAGAAAGCCTTCTTACTCTCTTTTGAGTTCCAACAGTCGACACAGTCATCATCACTGTTCCTTCTTCCACGACATCCCAGAAACTGTGTGCTCTTCTCCTACTGCCTAGAGTCCAATGCCATATCCAACCACACTGTGCTATCCCTCATCTTTAAAATGTGGCCAGTGGCTCTGGACAAAACATGCAAGATCTTCCCATGAAAAAGTTATTATTTTTGGTCACCCTAGATTCTAAAGAAAGAGAATATGAAAATCAGGAAAAAACAAAGGAAAGGAAAACGAAAGGATGACAAAACCTGTTTTGAATGACATGCCATACTGGACCTGTGCTAACAGGGCAGCAGAATCATCTTCCCACCTCCTGCCCAGGACTCTAGGTTTACATACTGACCATCTCAAGTTAGAGTCTATTTGCACATAAGAGTAATCTTTAGAATTTCATGGTTTGAAACTAGTTGTATATAAGAATACTTAAGTTCCATTAAACCTTTTACCCCAAAGAATCCAAAGAACTTCAAAATTAGCTTAAAGTGGCATATTATTTCCTGAGTACAGCATAGCCACAGGAAATTATTGTAAGATATTAAAAACAAATTCTGAAAAGCAAGCATTTAGCATATACTTACAGCAAGGTGATATTTGACGTAATAATGAATAAACCAGAGAGGTATAAGTACATGAGAAACAGCGAAGAGACTGGACCGGTATGTCTTAAAGATCTGTGGGAGGGAAACAAAGCCCATAATGTAAACAAATATCCTCTTCAAAAATTTTAGGATTTATTTATGTGTACTAGTGTTTTGTCTGCATGTACCCATGTGTGCCGTGAGTGTGCCTGGTGCTCTTGGAGACCAGACAGAGGCAAGCATTGGATCCCCCGGAACTAGCGTTATAGACAAGTTTTCAGCCACCCTGTGGGTGCTGGGAACCAGACCTGGGTCCTCTGCAAGAGCCAAGTGGTCTAAAGTACTGAGTGGTCTCTCCATCTCACCCACCCTCACTCTTACTTTCCATTCATTTGTTCTGAGACAGGGTTCCTCTCTTTAGCCCAGGCTGGCCTTCAACACACAGCAGTCCTTATTCAATCTCTGGAGTGGCTGTGACTACCAGCATGTACTACTTACTACGCCTAGCATGAGATACGTCATTTTTCAATGTATGTGGAACAAAAAGCAAAACAAAAGTCCTACCATCAACAAAGAATGTGATAATTACTTTATAAACGTATTTCCCGACAGACTGGTGCTAACCTACTTACTCCAATATTTTCACTACCTCTGGGACTTCCTATGGGACATCCATGGGCTCCTGAGCACACAAGGCTTAGGATGAGTAACATTCTAGAAGACTTCGAGACAAGGTTTAGGATAAATAGCACTCTGCCAGACATACAGCACTCATGTTCAAGAAAAAAAGCAAGGCTTCATACTGAAATATGGGTGTTCTAAACTCACTGATCTCTCTCCTGACACACCTTTTAAAAAGGGAAAGTCAACAGTCAAAAAAAAGGGGTGGGGCCTTTTTATGGCATCCAATTTGACTAAAATGCATCCTTTCAGGAGAAAGACAACCTAGAATTTATGTATTATAGCAGATGATTATAGAAGAAAAACAATCACTCAAAGCAAGGTAAAACAAAATTCAACAAATGGTTCCTTCCTTAAATCACTAGCTAAGTTATCAACCAGTAACTGTCAAAATCAACAGGTAATGCCAGGTACACAAGAAAGGAGAGGGACAGCTTGCATTAGAGTTGAATTTCACCACCTTATGTATGTGATCCCCTTTTACACTAACTTTTGTAGCACAGTAAGATAGTAGTTTATATGTGAATCACGAATTCCTTGGAGTGACCAGGAGAAAATTCTTCTTCTTTTTTTTTTTTTTACTGTTTCTCTTTCCTCACAGTTAGAATGAGAATTAGGAACCCCTTTTTACCATTTAGGGATAAAGAAACGCAGTACTGCATACAAAAACCTCAGCAGAATACTGGGTTTGACGATAGCAAAAGTCCACTGTTCGTTGTTGTTGTTATTATTATTATTTTTATTATTATTATTATTATTATTGGAAGTAATTGAAAGCAATTCCCACAGAGTATTCATTTCTTATCACGGGTATGACTTAGCTGTACTATACACACCAGCTGAGTTCTCTATCACCTCGGCATTACAAATCGCCGAGTGTTCTCAAATACTGAAATCGCAGCCTGTGAACTCCATGAGGGGTCACCCCCCGAAGCCAAGCCACTGCCGGACTCCAGATCCCTACCCAGGACTCTCGTAAAGTGACGCCCTCTGCAAACCCTGACACCCGGACTGCTGGTCCCTAAGGGCCCCGGGCGTGGACAGGGTCGGGCCGTGCGGCGCCTGAGAGGAGCGGGGTGGGGTGGCCGGCCCGGCGTGGGAAGTGGGGCCCGAGGGGCTCGTCACTCACCGCCTTCTTCCACAGGGCCCCATCCCGCAGAAAGTTACTCCAGAACGTCTCCAGGGGCCACATCCTGCGCGGGGGCAGCACCGGCTCCCGGGGGCTCAGTTCCTGGTCCTTCAGCCATCGCCTTCTTAGCTCCCGTAGCTGCTGCAGCCGCAGCTTCTCATCCGGTGTGTACCCCGTCATGTCGCCGGCGAGCCTGCCGAAGAGACGCGGCGAGCACCTGAAACCGGGGCCAGTCCCGGACGCGCGCTGCCGCTCTTCAAAGCGACCTTGAAGACACCTGGGAGCGGCGCGCCGTGATGATGTCACACCAAAACACGGACGGCAGCCTGCGGACTCCTTGGCGGAAGTCAGCATCTGCTCATGCGCAAAAGCCCTTTCACAGACACTCTTAAGAGCCTGGGTTAAGAGCGAGATGGGGAAGGCCCCTAAATTATGAGTTAATGGGGAAGGTCCCTTAGTTATGAGTTAATGGGGAAGGTCCCTAAGTTATGAGTTAATGGGGGCGGGAAGGGGGTGTATAGAAAGTGTGAGAGGTCCTGGGTCTGGAGTTCAGAGAAGACTTGTAGGGGATGTTGTTCTTTGCTGCAGCTTCGGGCGATGAAACACGATCCACCAAACTAAAACCCACAAGCAGTTTACTGGGAAAGGGAGCGAAGGGAGGGGTAGGTGTTAACCGATGGGGAGCAGAAATGGAAAGAGAGAGAACAGTCGGGAGATGCTTGCTTCAAAAGGGAAAGGGGGCGGTTTAGAATGAGGCCCCGCAGTTGAAACTGGAGTCGTGGAGCTGCCGTTGGCCCAGCTCTGCATGGTTTCTGCATGCAGAGTCCTCATGCAGCCTCCTAACACATGCACGATGTAGCGCTGCAACCGCTGACAGCCTTTGAGCTGTCAAAGACAGATCCCGAGTGGGGGAAGGTCGCCGGGAGAAGAGCGATCCCTGGGCGGGAAGAGAACCTGAGGATTAGTGAGGCCCCTAGACCAGGAAAGGTCCCCTAAGGAGAAGGCGCAGGCTCAGGAGAGGGCTGGCACGGAGTGACACGCGGGTGCTGAGGAGAAGTGGAGTCGTCTGGAGCAGGAACAGGGCCAGGTTGCCCAGGGCTGGGAGAGGGAGAAGCCAGGATATCAACAGGGTAGGGGAGCAGAAGGACTAGGATGTAAGTTTGCACAACTTTGCCCCGCCCCCTTGAATTCCTCCCTTTTTGACCTAGAAACAGTTGCATACAAGTTCAGCTCCTAGCCCTTTTTTAACCCCTCAAGTGATCTGGAGCAGGTATCTCGGTTTCCTCCCTCATCTGTACTGCTGAAGCAAAGAGCACTTTTTTTTTTTTTTTTTTTTTTTTTGGTTTTTCGAGACAGGGTTCTCTGTAGCTTTGGAGGCTGTCCTGGAACTCACTTTGTAGACCAGGCTGGCCTCGAACACACAGAGATCCGCCTGCCTCTGCCTCCCGAGTGCTGGGATTAAAGGCAGGCGTGTGCCACCAACGCCCGGCCTAGCAAAGAGCACTTTATTTGGGAGTATTACATAGATACTCTTTGATCCAGCAGCCCCACTTGTAAGGTATCCCAAAGATATGGTGTAAAGAAAATTTGCTGGGGTGTGCACGAATATTCATCACGACACAATTTGTAATAGCAAAACCTTAGAATTCACCCTCCCAGATTCCTCAATAGAGGATTAGTGGAAAGCCTTACGGTGTTGTAAAGTGCTGGAATGCTACAGCCGTTGTATAGCTAAGCTTTCTATTCACAACTGTGGAGGGACCCCCTACAATCTATTGTTGAGGCAAATAAATAAAAGCACCTACACCCAGTAGAAAAAAGAGTATAGGTATGTTACCTTTCATCCAAAAACGAGGTGAGTAGTGGTGATACTAAATATATATACGTGCTCTATAAAGCGTTCTTTGGTTTGGTTTGGTTTGGTTTGATTTGATTTTGAAAGACAGGGTTTCTCTGTGTAGCTTTGGAGCCTAGCCTAGAAGTCTCTCTGTAGACCAGGCTGGCCTCGAACTCAGAGATCCGCCTGCCTCTGGCTCTCAAGTGCTGGGACTAAAGGTGTGCACCACCGCCACCTGGCTTTTTTCTTCTTCTTGTTCTTTAAGTAATATAAATAAAAACGAACTTTGTTTGTATTGTTTTTGGAGACAGGGTCTGGTGTAATGTAGGCTGGCTTTGAACTTGCTATTTTGGGGAATCTGGGCTTGAACTCCTAATTCTTCTGTCTCCACTACTCATGAACTGGCATATACCAATATGCTAAAAAAAACAAAAAAACAAAAAAACAACTGCTTTTGGTGGAAGAGCTGGCCCTGAGGTCATAAGAGCAGGAGAGCTGTCCCTGTTCCTCATCAGCTGCAGCACAAGGGAGAGAGGTCCTCACACCCCACCTGGACAACACAGTAAAGCTGGCCCTGAAGGCGTGGAGGAACCGACCCTGAGGATGTGAATGTGGGAGTTCTGGCCCCGCCCTTTCTCATTCCTGCAAGGGGTGAGCTCGCCAGGGCAGTGCTGGAGAGCTCGCCCTGGTGGTGAGGGCGGGAACTGGTGGTGAGGACGGGGACCTGGTGGGCTGACCAACCCCGCAACTGCCCAGGCCCAGAACCAGGATTAAGTGTTGGCCCACCCCAATAATCCACCCCATCTGCGATCTGCTGGTGCGTGGAGGAGCGGGGGGAATCCTTTGGAACCAGGGCTACAGGATCTCTATGACACAAGGCAGCAAGGGGATGTCCAGGGAGGGTCACAGTGAGGGCCCAGTGTCGATGATGGAGCAGAGACCAGTGGCCTCAAACCAAACCAATAATTCTTTGCAAAGACCACCTGCATGTAAAGATAAAAGGGTTTATTGCATGACTCTCTGAGTCTCACTGCAGATTCCATCACAAGATTTTCCTTTTTTTATCTTAAATTTTATTGTGTTTTATTTGGGGGACTGGAGACGAGTGGGATCAGGAGGCATAACGTGAAAGACACAAAGAATAAATGTTAAAAGTTGATTTTAAAAAGGACTGCTTTTAAAATAACAATATTTTATAGGGAGAATAGGATAGAGACATAAGTAGAAGCTAGACAGTTATAGAGATGACTTAGCAGTTAGGAACACAACACACACTGCTCTTTCCAAAACCCCGAGTCAGAAGAATCTGTTTATTTACATCGTGGGGCTTCTGGAAACAGCTCTCCAGAAGACAGGAATACCATCCATAAGGTTCTCCCTAGTACACACACCGCTAGCACAAATTAGACGTTTCTAAGACTAATAGGCAACTAGCAGGTTTCCCAGGTCAAAGATGGAAACATCAGTAAGTACGAGCTGAGTGATTTTAAAATATAAAATACACCATATGCAAGAAGTCAAATATTTTATTGAAACCTCATTTGTGACTTTTGGATGGCCGTAGGAACCAACATACTTTGAAATCTGGTAAGAAAAAAAAATCAGACGTGTTTTTTTTTCCGAGTTTTTCTGTACAGATTGCCTGTTACAGTAACAAAGAGCTTACAGGGGCATTTTCTTCTTCAAAGAAGTACTTTAATATCGAACACAGGAGGAACTGGCAGGCCATTCTACAACCCTTCATTAATGAATCAGGGCAGGGATTGTCCCTCTGTGGCTGTGGGCTGCTCAACGAGGGCTGCGCCCTCTAGTGGACATCTGTCTTGCTGCCTATAAAATGGGCTTGCCAAAGTCTGGAGCTGACCTTCAGTATGGGGCATGGGGTGGAGGAAACACAGTCAGTGAGTTAGCAATCGGTGTGTGATGGACAATTTGGGCTCACTGTATTCCTTTCTTTTAAACTTTCGTTTACGCTTGAAATTCTCTTAAAAAAATCTGGGTCTGGAAGTACTGAGCCATCATTTAAGCTATTATTAATCTTCGGGCCCTTCATGTAAACGTTTCCTATCTACAGACCTCAGTTCTGTTACAGCGAGATCCGAATAGTTAATTCTCAAGTTGGAGTAAGTCCCCCGGGAGCCTAACTGCCAGGTTCTGCCTCGTCTCCCGTTCAGGTCCTGAGCCTGCGATGCGACTTCGCTGCTAGGAAGATTCTGACCAACCACCAGGTGGACTGCACACAGTGGCCCCACATAACTCGAGCTGTCTTCATACTTTAACACAGTTTTTTTCCCCCTATCAGGCTTACATGAACAGTTTTATTATTGGCTCCTATTTCTGACTTTTAAGAAATGCATCATATTTTAAGAAATACATGGTAGTCATTACAAAATCTCCCGTTGTTCCCCTTTATGTTTCCCCAAATATACTTTCCCATCCCCTACATAACCTTATTCTAAACATAGAGTTCAGCATGTTTGCATGCTTAACTAAATATTGAGCCAGACACATCCTGCTCTTGGAGAACATAGGTCAGCTGGCAGCTACTTGCGGTTACAAAGTTAAAAAATAATAGACATGGGTACATTGCTTTAAGGGCAACAATATTCAGACCCAAACAATTCTTTCACGTCTGTAAAATATGCTTTTATGCAATTCCCATGTCTCAATCTCTCTGTAAAAGGCAGACTTTGATAAGGCACTAAGCCATCCCACTATACCATACTTCTTCCGCATAAGCTCCTGTGTATGGTAAAGATGGGTCTTTTATCCCATATTTTACATTGCATTATTTCCTCCATTGGAGCATGCTGGATCTTACCATTGATTCTATATGCTTGGTGTCCAAGGAACTTACTCTTAACCATTGACACTATGTGTATTCCCGAGGTTTTCACCCTAGTCTGTGTATGCAATCCCTACTCTCCTTTCCAGAGCTTTGAGACCTGGCTAATGGTCCAAGAGTTGTTTTCTCATAAATACCTAACTGTCCCTATTGAGTCAGAAAAGTTTCCAGGATTAGGAGTGAAAAACCTCGGCAACAAAGCGCCGGGCACTGAACCGAACCCTCTGCCCAAGAACCGGGGCCAGACCACTGGCTGCAAATGCAAGAGGTGATTTATTGAGTACACAGGCGCCTGCGGATGCTACTGCAACTCGGGTGCAGAGCATACCGGGCTTGCAGGGAGTACAATATTTATAGAGTTTTAATGGTTACATAAGTAACAGGCATTTCATTGGCTCATCTTGGGGGCAGGGGTAGTTCCCACGGACTAAGTTTCCTGGTATTACTTTATGAAAGACCCTGGCATGCTTCACCAATTATTATCCTGGTCCCATGACTACTATGGTGATCATAGACACAACTGGGGCCAAGGGTAGTTGCCAAGGACTGGGTGTCCTGGTATTGTCATATGAAAGTTCCCAGCACGCTTCAGCAATTATTATCCGGGTCCCAT